TTCCTGTAACCACCCTTCAGCATCCAGAGCACCAGCATGCCATAACCAAGGACTTCTCTCTTGGCCTTCGTGGCCGGAGGGGTCGTGGTAGTATTTAGAGCAATAATAAAAACAAGCCCTTTGGTCCACCCACCCGTCCGCCCACCCAAGAGTAGAAATAAATGCCTGTGCCTTGAGGCAGCCACATCGTCCACTGCCACAGCTGGTGGGAGGCTTGGCGTTTGGCCACGAGCAGCGTGTCCTGCACACCGAAAATGGCGCTTCCCGTGAGACCATTTGAGTGTCAAGCATCCAGCCTGGTTCTCACGTGAGTAGGGCCTCCAAGCTGCAACCCAAGAAGAGAGAGAGAGAGAGAGAGTGTGAGAGAGAGAGAGAGAGAGAGAGTATTGCATGGGGGGGGGTACCCCAGGCTCAGGCAAAAGCACAGGAGACCTTTGGGTGGGTAGCTCCAGGGGCAGACCAGGTCTGGGCCCATCCTGAGAGCCCCGTTCTCCAGATGCCACGTGAGAGAGGCATCTCCTCTCACAGAAGGGCCTGGTGCCACTTTATCAGTTCCCCGTTGCCACTGCATAGATGTGCCCCCCCCAAAAAAATAACAGCTTTGCTGCCCAAGGTGCTGTCTGCCCACTGTGGAAGGCAGAGGGATTCTGGCAGGCGCAGGGTAGGGGCCCTTGTCAGGTCAGGGCTGCGGATCCAGACCTTTGGGTGAGCACGGAGGGCGGCATCTCTCACGGCCTCCGCTGAAGGCAGAGGACGCTTGCTTTGCAGGTGTCCCCGGACTCCCCACCCCGGTGCCATCTAAGAAGGGCCTCTCCGTGGTGCAACAGAGCTTGGGCACCCCCTGCCCAGGCCGGCTGAAGCAGGACCTCACAGCCAAGCAGAGCAGCCACTCTGCTTGGCTGGGGGGCAGGGTGGGGGCGGAAATGTCTGCCTGGCATCGTGGATCTTCTTGAGACTTTCCTTCACTCACTCACGCGCTCACGTGCACATGGCCCTGGTTGCTACCGGCCTGATGCTGTTTCCAGCCAAACCGGGTCCCATTTATTTATTGTACTCTGTTTTTGTTTCCAGTGTCTGTATCTTTTTTTTTTACTATTGCTGAGCAGCATGAATATTGGGCACTGCCTGCCCCAGCCTTCCTTGTGGAGGGGGGGGTCAGATCCCAAGTGCCAGTTTTTTTAAAAAAATAATGCCTTAATAAACCACACCATGTTTGTACAGACCCAGACTGTTCCCTGACTCAAGGGAAGCCAGGGCATAAATAAACCCTGGTCAGGCTGACCTCGGAGGCATCGGCTTCAGCAGATGTTCTTGGCAGGCACTTGGGGGGAAATGCTGAGCCCTGCCTGGTGCCCGGGAGGGGGCGCAGAGGGAGTTGGCAAAGGACAGGGACCCATTCAACGTGAAAGCCAACAGAGCAAAAACAGTATTTGGATGG